TTATCTACATTAAAAAAAATGGTGATAACTGATATCCAGTTGATCTTTTCATTCTGGTAATAAAATGATAGTACAAAGATCTTATTATGCACTGCAGACATCCATCAAAGCACATTTTCCAATAATGTACTACTCCGAGTGTTTCTTCCCTATATCCAAGTCAAAGGGAGGTTAAGTACCTGCCCTTACATTCCCTTCATTTTTAAGACTTGGGCACTGAACTGCAAATAGAAGTTGAACTTCAACCCTTGACGCTTTGTTCACATTGTGTTATCTGTAATTTTGTTTTCTTTGCATCTTTAGATAAACCATTTTCTGTGGGGAGTAAAACAATGAGTTGGAAGGTCTGCCTACTAAAATATTTTTTAAACCCTAGAAAGTTTTTATGCTTGTAAGAAAACAAAAGGAAAGAGCGTAGGAGAAAGCAACATCAGAAATGGAGAAGGAAGAGGAGGAAATCTTGGTAGGAAGAGCAGCCAGACAGGACGAGAAACACAAGTGTAAGGTGCAAAGAAGCCAAATAATGTGAACAAGCCGAACAAGCCCCAGAGATCACGAGATTATTAAAATCCGTTCTCACATGCGTGCAGAAGTGGCCCCCAAGTCAAGAAGGACATTCTGAAATTATGTCATTGTTTGAGGAAAACCAAAGAATAAAACAATAATATAAATCAAAAAACAAGGGCCTCCCTGCATCCACTACACATTTTAAGTAGTTATTTACGTGACAATTAGAACTCAACTATAGTTGATAGGAACAATTGTAGTTTTCCAAAATTCAGTGTATTTAAATCACAAAAGATTATAGCACCAACAATTTTTAAGGTTACTAGAGGAGAGAAAGAAAAAGAATAAGACTATTTAATCATGCAATACACCACTAAAAAGGCCAAAAAAATTATAGAGAAATTCATAGTCTGACGATTTTAGAAGTATTATTTGAAATTACTGAGCACCAAAGTTGAAACAGACACTATCTTGGTAGCTCAGGGATTGATATCAGGCTGTGCTTTGGCAGACACAATAACGCAGAGTTAAGACCAAAGTCTTATACAAGACCCTACTGATAAGGCACTGGAAAAAAAATCTCACTGACAACAGAAAATTCTTTTTGCATTCTTTAAAGTTTCTAAAAAGACTTATTAAAGACTTAATACCATGGACCAGGCAACAGACTGTAATACCTTCACCTTTTCATGCAAATAATTCATGTGTTAGTCCCAAAAGCATTTTGTTCAGTCTGATTTGAGGTCTCAACCATAATTTGTTCATATTTATTTTGTGTTAGTATAGAATTCTATGATTATTTTTTGTGAAAAAATTTATTTTTTTCTTTGTTAATTAAAATAGCGTTTCTACTTTGTGTTAAAAGAACATGACTTTCCATTGCTTTCCATCCAATTTATTTATTTATTTATATTTTTTTTTCTTGCAGTTTTTGGCCAGGGCTGGGTTTGAACCTGCCACCTTTGGCATATGGGGCTGGTGCTCTACTCCTTTGAGCCACAGGCACTGCCCTTCCATCCAATTTATTAAAGTGTCCATTATTGTTTAGGGAAGAAACCAGCTGCATTAAAAGATGGTGTCCCTTTTAGTAACTTCTGTATAAAATGCTTGAACCATGATGGAAGAGACAAGGGTCATCCAACGGTCCTTTGATTCCCGTCCTTGACACGAGTAGAGAGCCACAGATAACACACCTCTGTGCTCAGCCCTCTATGAATCTTCAAAAACTGACTTAAATCTAATTGTAAGCTGTGGATCACAACCATACTTTAGCCTTGCTGTAACCTAACAAACGTCAATGAACTGACATTGGACTGGGGTTGTATGCAGTTAGTATTCCCTTGTAATCGGAAAGATCAAAACCTGTATGTTGACATTGAAATGTCCACTATTCATAGAGATGGCTCTTTGTTAAAAAGTACCCTATCACACATGAAAATAAGCTTTTTATTTCTAAAGGATAAAAGGCTCTTTTCTTCTTTTTAAAGATTCTTGACAGCATTCCCTCTCAGGGAGAAGAATGGTGGCAATAAGGAATCTGATAGAGATAGAATGTAGATCTGCCCTTTCTCAGAGAAAACTTCACAAAGGGCAACACCCTAGCCAGTCTGTGGAAGGTTCTGTTGTTGTGTAGAAAGAGGAGCAGCTGAAAAAGAATCAGATCTGCCACCTTGCAAAGTCACTTTCAATATATGCAGCCAGGTCTTTCCCCCTCTTCACCCATTACCCACTCTTCAACATCAAAGTTTGGCTAGCCTGATGCTTATATATTTTCTTTTCCATACTTGACATGGAAAAGTATTAGAGCAGAGAAATTCTAAGTAAATGTATAGACATTTTTCTGGGAAATTTCCATTCCAATGCATTAGCATTTAATGTTAATTCTCAATGTAAGATAACTATTTATATTGTAGTTTATTTCCTGTGGTAGAATTCTTAAAACATATCACCTGATGTATTCCTATTAATCTCCCAGTGCAAGTGATGTCTCAGATAAGGTTCAGTTTTTAGAGAGAGTGGTGTCCTACAGCTGCGATTTAATGGATGTGCATTAATGTTCTCAACTTCAGACAAATCTATGGCTGACAGAGGATACACATAATAAATCAGTCTTTCATTAAACTTGGAGCCAAATTGAGATACAGATATTTTTAATTTATTTTGTATTGAGTAGGAGATGCACTCTAGGTAGAAATCTCTACTTATTTTATCACTGAGTTAGGACTGTATTACTCGATATATAAATTCCTGTCTTTCCAGAGTTGGGTCTGCTTTCCAGAAGCTGGGTTTTCTACTACATCTGCCCACTATTCCCAATAACACAAAGACAAAAGGATATGAAATTGTTACCTGGTCATTCACTGAATGTTCTTTCCCGTGACTGCTGTCAAATTAAGGCATTTGCAGTCCCGTCCAAGGTGGACACTGAAAACTCACAACCACGCATTTAATTCAAGAAATTTAAATGTAACCCACACTCTTCAAAAAGGGAAAAAATTTCACTAGCCAGCAAAAACCTTTGTCCTCCAGGGTAGTATTCTGTGAAATATCCAGAGGAATACAAAGACTGTCCTCAATATTGGAGTTTCATGATAAAAGCCAAACGAGGGTAAGAGGGGTAATTATACCACATACCTTTATAATTTTTAACTTTTTGATGCAGCTATAGAACAGAGAATCACATTTTCTTAGGTTAATTGCCACAAATTGTGCTAGAACTCACATAGTTACATTTCACAAATTTTAAAATCCAAGCTTTATTCTATGCTTCATATAAATAAAATTTTAAAAGTATATAAAATAGAAGCCTAGAAAGAAATATTTTCTCCATATGGACATTTTAAGATTCAGGAAGTAACAAAAAAATCTGTAGCTACATTGAGACAAAAATATGGCCTTGAGAGAGAGTGTTTGGGGAGTGTTATGGTTCCTGCATTTTATGCCCCAAAGCTGAAAGCAATCTGGACCATGGTATTAGACCTGCAAAATGTGTATTTCTTTTCAGAAAGTGTGGAAGTAAGAGGGTTGCAGAGCAGATGATATTTACTTGAAAAATTCCATTTGTATGGAAGATTTAAGAGATCATTTTCAGGAACTATTCTGTATGAGATGATTTTTAATGCCTGGCATATCAGTTATAACTTATTGGTTTAATTTTTAAGACATCAAAATTAATATACATGCAAATATGGCCACTCCATATTATTATTCTTTATAACTTTCAGAACCCAGATTTATTATTCTAAAATTCACCCCTGGAAACAACAAGGGAAGGTTGAAAAAATGGCCAATTTAAACAAAGCTATATGGTGACAAGTCTAAGTAAAATAATGAGTTGTTAAATGTCAATGACCTTTTTAATTGCTGTGATTGGACAGACTTGTATTTTTGCTACTTTAAAATAGGTATTAAAGTATGTAAACTAAAAATACAAGTTGTAGGAAGGACAGTTTTAGAAATAGTGTATGTTTTATCATTTCTCAAGTTTAAGACCAGCGTTCTGTTCCTCAGCGTACTCATTGGCGTCTGCAAACACAGCCAATGGTTTGGAGAGCAGACTCCATTCATTCCTATTCAGCATTTCCCTGAGGACACAGAAAAGTTGTTTTACTGACTACGACAATGAGACATTAGAAGTGTGTTAGTATGATTTTATTTAAGTAGCTAACTCCTATGTTATCACTGAAGATTTCTTAATGTGATCAGCAAAACCTGGAAAGAAAGACCTAAACATTTCTGTAAGGAAATAAAATACATTTACTCTTAAGATAATGCTATAGCTCAAAATAAAATCACAGTCCTCGTATTTCTTCAGCTGGTCTCTAGTTCAGATTCAGATAAAACTCAGTCCATGCATCTTCTGAGTCATCATTGGCATGCATGTCACAAAGCGAAGGGTTTTGGTTACTTTTGCAGATATATGATTAGGATGTAAAAATTCATTACATAAATATTCTTAATATTCAAGGAAGAACGTTTTAGACAAGTACTTTTCTATAAATATATAACATGGAAGAATCTATCGCCAATATAAAATTTTAGTTACGTTTAGAAGGATTTGATAGTAACTCTCAAAGTGGGAGACATTAAATATATTTTTTATATATTTGAGTTAAAAAATATAAACAGAAGTAAATAAGACCCATAGTATTTTCTTCTACTTGAAGAAAACTACCGCAGTCCCAGGTAGAGCAAAATACAAATGGCACTTGCAGTACCTGAAGGTCTACAGAGGTGTTTGCACCTTCTGCTGCAAATACTTGTCACCTCTTTGCCCAGTTAGAAGTAGGAACTGCAATGAAAAACTCTTCATCTGTTCATCTGTATAGTTTTGAAAATGAATTTTTACAATCCAGATGATGGACTGGTATACTTCCAAAGTCGTTTATGAGTTTCATAAACACATTTCTCTTCCTCTCTCACTTCTTTTTCCCTTGACTAGCTTACATCATAATGGAGGAACAACATTTTAAAAATTTTGAATAGGCACTTACTGGAATTACAGTTAATCCTGATACAATCTAGATGGGGAAGAATAGATGAAAAATGAAAATTTATCCTTCAAGGTAATAGCTGCAGACATCCAATAAAATCACAGTCCACCCTTCCGGGGACAGACACATGCAAATATGGCCACTCCATGTCATTATTCTTTATAACTTCTAGAACCCAGATTTATGGTTATAAAATTCACCATTGGAAACAACAAGAGAAGGTTTAAAAGATGGCCAGTTCAAACAAAGCTACATGGTAACAAATCTAAGTGAAATAACGAGTTGTTAAATGTCAAAGATGCTCGGCTTAGACTGGCTGCAACTTTCTCCCCATTTGTGAAAGAACATGTCACTGTTTTCAGCAAAATTAAAAAGTGCTCCGTCACCATGGGGTACAGTGCAAGCTCAGCTAGGCTCAGACATCTTGGACCTCTAGAATCTAACATCCCACAAAGGCCAACAGAATCCTTCAGATTTGCACTGGCTGAATGGAGAGCAAGTTAAAATCATTCTCATCTCTCACTAATGTTTTGTTCTGTTTTTAAATTTTATTTGCTGGGCATAGAAATTGGCTGGATTCCATACTTTGTATGAATTGGAGGAGGAAAGAAATGACTCTCTGTCTTCTTTAGAAACTCTGGTGCAAAAGAATAGTCATTATTCGTAATACGCAATACTATGCCTCTCTCAGAAGCTAACAATGTTATCTCTATGTGACAAGTGTCATGGTTAACACGGCTATTGATTTTCCCTTCTTATACTTGTTTCATATGAAAGTAGCTACAATAATAACAGAATGTCTGGTGTAATTATAGTGGTTCCCTCTAAAAGACTACATGGAATAGCTCCTGTTTGTTTTATATAGAGATATAGATCTGTTTGGTTTCAGTTTTAGTAGTTAATGCCTTTGGGGAACATGAAAAATATAAACCTAGATTCTGTTTCCATATAGCTGAGTTTGTCATGTGTCGTCAACCGCATCAGAAAAGTGGTTGCAAACAGCCAAGGACCAGCACCTACACCGCTCTTTCTACAGAATGCTTTGCTGTTGAAAATTTCCCATGGGGGCTTCCACTTTGGCTAACAGGCCCTTTACTGCAATTAGGCAATTTATGTTGATTGTCTTGTAGTAACCTGTCATTGACACTAGAGGGAACTCTAACAGAACAGTAAGTGAGGTGCTCTGTGTTTAGTGTTTTAAAAAACCTGATTATTTAACTTACTTTCACTAATATTAGTTAAAAGTAATTATATGCAATAAGCTACCAATGGGACAATTTTATATTGTATGAGTTAGCATTCTGCCCAGCACAATTTGGAAATGTAGGTGTGTTTTCCTCAAATACCTTACCAGGTTTTACTACTCTTTTTGGAAATTTATGGGGTTTCAAATTTTATTTTTATCTCTCTGATTATTCATTTCTGTATGTGTTTAACACTTTCAGGAAATACAGTAAAACCTCATAAATTTTTACTCCTCTTATTTGGAGTTAAGGTTAATAGTGAAACTTATTGGGCAGAATATTAATTCTTCAGTATGAATAGAATTATTCTTTAAAAAAAAAATCTTTAAAAATATATATAAGCAAGATTTTGAAAGGCCAAGTTCCTTCAGTAAGAAAACTAATTTCAGGCACTTCATATACATTCATGGCACAATTTGCATGAAAGAAGTGCTAATTATGGCTAATTCGTATTCATCATTAAAATAAGCCTAGTAAGCCCTTTCCTGGACAAGATCTTTCCAGCTATCAATTGTGTTTTTGAGTGTAAAGCTATTAATTGAAAATGATAAAAAACAGCTTACATTTTTTTAAATCTACAATGTAAGACTTTTTCTTGACTCAGCTTGGCTTTTCCCCATAATTCAACCCGACTGGTGAAGTTTTGCTGTGGTGACACTGTGTTGATACCACAGGAAAGCATTATCTTTCTGTAGAGGAGCCTGTGTCTTCCGTGTTCTCATGGCTGTTTGCTGAGGGCCGCAGACTTTGGGCATTGAAGGGTCACGGATCGTTGTTTGATAGCAAACTGTCACCACACCGTACACCAAAACAGAAAAGATGAGGTACCACAGAGGGGAAGATTCAAAGGAGAAGCCCAAGGAAAAGAGTAAGAGAACTGTCGGTCTAGAAACAGAGAAGAAATTGGATACTTGGTGTGACTGTTATCTAAGCAAACAGATTTTTATTTATCTGCAAGGAAATCATTTATAACCAATTAAAATGTCAGTAAATGTAACAACAGGAAATTCGGTTTGACGTATCGTCAGGCCTAACAATTTATATTTTTCATTAACTTCATTGGTAAGTTACGGCTTCCCTTTTAAGAACCCTCGGTGGTAGGAATCACAAAACGGTAAGTTATGTTAAACATAACAACAACAACAAAAATAAATAAAAAGATGCCCAAACAAACCTAGATTATTTTAAAAGATGGAAATAAGACCATTAAGTGTTTTAACTTTCCATGGCAGACAGGCTATTTGATAAATGCTTGCAGGCAAAACTGAACAAAAAGTGAAAAGTGTTAGTTCAGTGGGGGAAGGCAAGTTGTTACCTAGATTGACCGTCAGTTTCACACGCCCAGCATCGAGCTCCAGGCGCAGTGTGTCTGCCGAGTCTCTAGATGTGGTTGCCATTAGAATCCCGTATGCACGCTGGGATCGGAACCTTAAGGACACGTCCTCGGCCTCCGTGTGCATGACCACTGGGAGCTGGATTTTCATAAACATACTCCCATCATAGCTCAATACCGTTGCCTCTATAGACGGAAAATGAACAGAAAGTTCTTGGTCAGTAGAGTGCATTTATACTTTGGAAAAGAAAAGGGTGATCTAGTAAAGACTTCTAGGTGGAATATAATACTACAACATCTGCTCATCTTCAGAAATAAACATTTGTTTTTAGAAAGTGGAAATAAAAGTCACAGTAAACAAATGTTAGCAGTTCCTTTTTTGTTCCCATTACACTTTGCACCTCTCGCATTAATCTTATTGGATATTAATGCTTATATGTGTCTCCCTTCTCAAATACAGAGATCATATTCTTTTGCATAGTCACAGAGTAAGCCTGGTCTGAGAGACCAGCACTTATTTAATGCATATTTACATATTAGTATGGAGAGCCCCCCAACTAGCTCAATGTTGCCTTGGTTCTGAATTCTTCCTCTGCAAAGTAAGAGGGCACTAGTACTAGAAGGCCACTTAACCTCATTGGCTTGCCTTAAAAATTCATAGGCTAAGAGAAGTTACTATTGTCATTTTTTCAAAATTTCTGCCCTAAATGATTTTTTTAAGAAAAAAATCTTTTTAAAAAAAATTTAAAAGGGACTATGACTGACACAGAGGACTTAGGTTACTTCACTCTTGCCAAAAGAGAATGGAAAAAGTGACATTAGCAAACAGATGATGCTTCTTTTGAGGCATTATGTTTAACAAAGTAATTTTTACAAAGGCACAAAGTATAGTTACATTTTAAAGCTGATTCACAGATAAGGGGTAACTGAAAAAGTTATTTATAAGCACAATCCTACTGTCCTAAATATATTAAATTATCACACCAATGTCAATAGCAATGTGCCTTGATTATACCGAATGAGAAGGCAGATGGGGCTGAGGAGACTGGAAAGACGTGTGTTATTAAACCCAGGTGCATGGTCTTTACAAGAAAGTTACTCATGTGACATTAAATACACGAAGAACTGAACAGAGAAACTGTTCATGACAAAGTAACTGCTCTAAGAAACAGCACCCCTTGGTGTTACCCACCATATGGCAGTGAACTGTGCAAGACAAGTATGAGTCATTTTGCTTTCTCATTGGTTCCAATAACTCAGAACTCCATTTAATAAATAAAAAACCACCTGGAACTAAAATAAACTAGGCAATTCTCATTATTTTTCCCATTTACATGGCACAGCAATTAACTTCACTGATACAACTCTACTCATCATTAAGGCTCTATTTGAAGTGGTGGCCTTGCGAGTTTCTTTCAGAAAGTCAAGACCATCAAATACTTTTTCTGCCCGACTTTGACTGGTACTTTTTGCCATCATGGGGTTGAACGTGCATCCAGAACCCCAGCGTGCTGAGTGTTTCAAGTCCCATCCTTGGCTCCCTTCTCTTTTCCATCTACCTCTTGACGTACGAGATTTTGGTCAACTATCAATTCCCACTCTCCTCACGCTCATCAATAGTCCAGATTTCACTGCTGAGTTCTGTCACCAATTGCCTGTTCGATGTCTCCAACTGCAATATGATACCTTTCTAAACTCTTAATTCACTCCCTGTAAAATGAATAAACTCAAAACGTGCTCCCTTTCCAATTTTCACCATCTCAGTAAATGGTATTCTCCCATTGTTGAGACCCAAACATTTCTGACTTTTCTCTTGCTTTCTCACCATGTCCAATCTATTTTCAAGTCTACAAGTCTCTAATTTCAGGCTCTAATTTCAATCCATATCTCAAATCTATGGCACTCAGCTTTGCCCCTGTGATAGTTCTCTTAATGGCATGAAGTTCTACTCTTTCCCCTACACCCAGCAGCCAAGCTAAACTTCTAAAAAAAAGATTCTCTCTGTCTACTGCTTAAACTATACCCCTCCCCCAATAATTTCCTACTGTAATTAGAAGACAACCTGCACTTCTTCTTTTAACCCACAAAGATCAGTATGACCCCCACCCTGCTTTAGTGAGCTCCAGACACACAAATTTCATGCTTCCTTTGAAGATTTGCACTTGTGGATCCATCTGTCTTAAAACGTGCTACCCCAGAACGTTAAATGGTTGGTTCCTTGGCATTTAGGTTTCTGGTCAACTGTTATTCCAGAGAGGCCTCCTCTTATTTCCAGTTATTCTATATCTGTTGATCACTTCATTTTTAAAAAGTACCATTTCTTGATTGTATAGTATTTTCTGAGTTTGATCTGAGAGTATAAATGTCTTTAGGGCAGAGATTCATCTTTCAGACACATTGCTCTATCAGCACCAAGTGCTCCCCAAATGCCAGACACATAAGTGAGCCTCAATAAATAGTTATTAAATTGACAGTTACATGTATGTGTGTATATGTGTACATATATATGCATATATATATATATATATATATGCACACACAGACACACACACACAGAGGGTGCCAAAAATGTATACACATTTTATGAAAGAAAAAACTATATTGAATTTGTAATACTTAGCTCACATTTGACTTTTGCAATTATAAGAATTGCTCAAACATGACTGGTATTCATCTTGTGTTATCAGAATATATTGACCATTATAATGTTGATATGTTATTTTCCTTTCTTAAACTCTGTATACTTTTTTAGTACCCCCTCCCTCTCTACACACACACACACACACACACATATACACATATGTGTATATATGAAAAAGCTTATTTCAAATTGGGTACCAAGCTTACATAAATGCTCATCAAATAAATTAGGTATTTATTCCATTTTAACTTAATGGAATAAGTTAATTTGTGTCATGTGTGTGAAAAGAAATATTTTAAACAGTCTACTTTAAAGGTTAAAATTGGGCTGAAAAGACAGTGTGTATTTCTCAAAATAGGGGCCCAGGGTTACACAACGGCCTATGTGCTAAGAAAATGACATGACTTTCTTAAAATATGGTGGTTCTACATCGTATCACATATTGTTCCAATTAGATGAGACGTTTCCTAAATGTTAGAAAAATCACCCAAACCAGAGGCTAATGTAGATATTCAAGTTGTAGTGTCTCAAGAAATAATTAAACATGATTATAAAGTTGTAGTGAACGCTGCAAAAAAAATGTGTTTGTGGTATAATTTTAAAAGAAACTTTATCTTTACTTTTCTAAACTATAGCCAATCACGGTCATTATCTACAAGGCAAGAAATACCTGATAAAAGTTTAAAAGCCAGTATCAATTGTTTAGTTACTTTGGTATCACATAAAGAAAGTTACTTGGGTATCACATAAATAAAATCATGAAAACCATGTTATTCCCCTTCTATTTATTTAATCTGTACATCTAGTTTCTATTACTGAATAATCATATATATATATATATATTTTTTTTTTTTTTGCAGTTTTTTTGGCTGGGGCTGGGTTTGAACCCACCACCTCTGACATATAAGGTCAGCACCCTACTCCTTTGTGCCACAGGCGCTGCCCTGGATAATCATATTTGAAACCCTATTATTCTATGAAAAGTAGCTTAATTTGATTGAACACTAAGCCGGGGCATATCCTTTTAGAAATACAGATGACTGACAATGATTCCTGAATACACTGTGCAATACAGCTTAGATAGGAAAATAATCAGAACCATTGACCTTTAACACTCTCTAAAAGCTGCAGGACCAACACAACTTAATAAAATAATAAAACTTGAGTGCCCCTGAGTGGCATTTTAAGTAATTCTCAATGTGAAAATAACTTGTTGATAAATGAGAAATGAAAGCCTCAGCGAGTCCTCATAATTACAGTTAATGTTTAATTAGAGAAGATGTGGAAAGTGCACAAGGTCGTCGTCTAGAGTTTCCAAATAAACAGTAAACAGCATTCTGATATTTGCAGGTTATGCTATTTGACAGCATCCCCTCACATTAGTAAAATTATTTTGCCATTTAGAACATAAAAGAATCCTTAAAAGGCTAATTTCAGTACAACGCTTCCCGGTGGGGGCGGAAAACAGCTTCAACTTTGTCTTCTAGATCTCCTTCTCCCTTGTCATTAAGTTTGATGAATTTGCTTTTCTGCATTATTCCATGCTGCAGTCTAAAGCGTACACCTGTGCTCAGTTTTGCCGAAAGGCAGTCACATATTGTGATCAACGATGAAAATCAGACAGGAAGCCAAATTATATTGCTCTGACATCTGTCCCTCCATCTGTGAGAGTTTTAACAAACAAGTACAAAGTAGATTATATCAAAGCTCTTGTTTTAAATATAACCGAGAATAATTTCTATATGATCCAGTCTCCACAAATTCTCAGTTTTATTACAAGGAAAGCAGAAGTGAAGATGCTAAATTTAACTTACATTCACTGAGCATTATTTCTGGATTATTCTTTCTTACAGGACCTTTGCTTAGGACCTTTGCTAACTTAGGCAAAGTACTATTTTTCTGTTTGTCTACGTTAGCAAATATTTTGTTCTTTTTTATAAAACCCTTTACTTTCTTAATGCAGGATGAAAATGTCCTATGATTGCAACATCATTCCCCACGCTTCAATATCCAAGGACCTGAACAAGTTTTTAATTACTTTGAATAATTATCTTCACAAATTATGAATTATTCTCCTATAAAACATAGAATAAAACAAAAACTTTGTAAGTACTCTTTTTATTCATTTCAAGATTTGCTGATCATCTCATTTGATTAGCTTTATGTGATCAGAATGCATATGGAGGGCGGTGCCCGTAGTTCAGTGGGTAGGGCGCTGGCCACATACACCCAGGCTAGAGGGTTCAAACACAGCCTGGGCCGGCTAAACAACAATGACAACTGCAACAAAAAAATAGCTGGGCACTGTGGAGGGTGCCTGTAGTCCCACCTACTTGGGAGGCTGAAGCAAGAGAATCACTTAAGCCCAAGGGTTTGAGGTTGCTGTGAGCTGTGAGGCCACAACATTCTACAGAGGATGAAATAGTGAGACTCAAAAAAAAAAAAAAAAGAACACATCTGTACAAGAAACTCATTTGAAGCTCTTTCTCTGGACTTAGAAACTCAGAGGGTCCTGCCTGCTCTGTGTTTACCCAACTAGGACATACCTGGGAGCTGGACAGAAGCCAGAGTTTGTGGTATTGAAAATGACAACCATCCCATATATCCCTGGCTCTCAGGATGTGCCATAATATAAGCAAGGAAATGAATTCTGAAAAGCAAAGACTTCTTAAAATACACTCAGGTGGTCCAGAAAGAGGAATCACCCCAAACGACCATTTTCTCCTCAACGTATATCCAATCTGGAGATAAAGAAAGCCTTGGAAATTTATAGGCTCCTGTCACATAAAAACGTGTGGCGAATTCCAGCGACGAAGTCTGCTATTAAGTTCTCATTTGCAAATCTACATATGCTTGCCATCTCTCCTAATTATTTCAATATATAAATATTCCCTTTCCTCCATTCTGGCTCAGAAAGCTCTACCATTTCCATTTTTATTTTTGCCATATGTAGTAACAGAACATTGCCACAGGGTGGTACACCATGCATATTTAACAGAACGTTTTTGTAATTCATGTGGCAGTTGAGTTATATCCTTTTCTAGCTTCACTTAACCAAGAGGCATCTGAATACCTGGCAGCTCTCTGAGTGATTAAAATTAAAACAAAACTTTAAGTCATGCGGGTCTGCTAATCTCATGTTATGCTTTGTTACCCACCCTCTTTTGGCAATGTTCAGAAACCAAGCTAAACAAACATAAGCCAGAATTAGGGGGGAAAAAAGCGAAGAAGAAATTTATAAAGAATATACACAAACCAAATTACACAGAAAAAGCTAAGCTGTAATTATAATTCACAGGAATTGTAATTAGGTACTGTAACAGGGAGAACGAATACAGCTACGTGATAAAATACTTCACTATCTGTTGACCTACCTAACTGTATGTTGCAAAACAGGGATAGCAGTTTGCTAAGTTGTTTAATATATTGTTTTATTATTAATTTATTATTAAGAATTATTAATATGTATTAAGAGTGTTCATAAAACTGATAAGCTTATATACTTTCTTGTTAAGGTAAGGAAATGAAGTCACTTTTCAATTTTGGGTTTTACAAAACAATCAGTTTATTCTCCATGAAGATTTAGGTTCAATGAACTAAACTATCTTTAAGAATATAAAAAAAAAAACCCTAAGTATTCATATCTCAAACAATAGATGCCAGGTAATCTTAGGCTACATATCTAATCAAGGATAAGAGAGCAACTCATCAATATATTTTATAATGATTTTTACTTCCATTGTTTCAGTGACAATGGGCCAGGCACAGTGGCTCACTCCTATAATCCTGGCACTCTTGGAGGCCAAGGTGGGTTGTTCGCCTGAGCTCAGGAGTTTGAGATCAGCCTAAGCAAGATGAGACCTATTTCTACTAAACATAAAAAAATTAGCCCGTGTCTCTAGTCCCTGCTTCTTGGGAGGCTGAGACAAGAGGACCCCTTGAGCCCAAGAGTTAGAGGTTGCTGTGATACCACAGCACTCTACCCAGTGTGAGAGCTTGAGACTCCGTCCCAAACAAAACAAAAACCCTAAAATAATAATAGCTGGGTGTTGTGGTGGGCACTTGTAGTCCCAGCTAGTTGGGAGGCTGAGGCAAGAGGATCACTTGAGCCTAAGAGTTTGAGGTTGCTGTGAGCTATGACTCACGACACTCTATCCACAGTGAAGGAGTAAGACTCTTTCTCAAATTAAAAAACAAAAAAGAAGAAGAAGAATATAAGTGAGGGACACTGGACAAAGTGACTAAAGGCATTGATCTGGAACATTGGGCCAATGAAAGACTAAGCTTAGGACTATTATTTTTGTTTTGTTATTTGTTACCTTAATCTGTTCTATAGCTCAGCTGTGACAGCTCTCACTCTTAAGTCTTCCTTACCCTAATGACTCTCCTTTTAATGGTAGAGGAATAGGGAAAAAAGAAAGAAAACTGCAGCCTTGCCTCCTCTTAAGAGTTAGAGAGGATATACCTACTCAGAATTTCACTAGGCACAGCTAAATCTTAGTAGCCAAAGGTAACTGAATCTTTGCCAATCTGCTAGGTCATTGGCAAAGGTGAGGGCTTTTACAATTAGGGTACACTTCCAAAAATGCGGGTATACCTTAGATGATTTAAAATCAGCTTACTTTTCAGGGGCAATATTGCCTGTTGGGGAAGCTGAGTGAAGTGGCATGAGGAGGCTAACTTAAGTCTCACCCAATTGTGTCAGGAAAGATGTAACTTCACAGCTTAGCTTCCCTCAAAAGCTGTTTCTTAACATGGGAGTTAGCACTCAAGATCACAAATATATTGAATTCATGTCGCTTTTACTGGATAGTGTCCTAAAGTTAAAAAGTAGGCCAAAGGGACTGTAGTTATTGGCTTAGGCTCATACCCCTGAGGATATGAAAGATCTACATTTCCAGTCCTGAAATGTACTTAAAGAACTGTGCCTTTGAAAATCATTAAGGGCTCATCAGCAATTCACCTCAGTGTGGCTGCTCAGGGTGCAGAGAGCGTTGACTTCAGCAGGGCTCATGTTACGTTTCAATGGCCACTTCATGTTTAAGGGCAACATTTAATGCACGTTGCATCTCAGGGAGGTGGCTGCGGGGATTTGGGAATCTTACCTCTCTCACAAGACCTGCCAAGATAGCCTGTTCCGGAACAATCGCAGACATATCTGTTCCAGCCATCCCTGCACATGCCATTGTTTTTGCAAGGATTGCTAAGGCACGGTTTTGCTGTTTCCCTTGAGCAGGAGGGCTTCACTCCAGCAGTACTTTGAATTTCAGCCATTTGCCGGATATCTTTGCTTTGGCCATCAATGAACAAATCCCTGATGCAGCCCACGTAGCCATAGTTGAGCAGAGCAGTCCACACCTCAGTGGGGAAGACAAGGCCGGCCTTATTTTCTGGCAAGCCCCCCAAGTAGAGCTCATCATCCAGGTCCAAAATCTCACTCTCGCCAGGAGCGGTGTAGGGCGTGCGCAGTGTGTTGACAGAAATGGTACCTACAGGAGAGACGAGAGAATGTACAGGTCTTTACAGAGCACCCGTGTGTTCTAATTATCACCTTTTCTCTCCTTAGTCTGCTTAAGGGTGAACTCCTTGAAGGCAGATATTTCTTATTCTTTCTATCCCCAGTGCCTGGTACTTCCCAGTACCTTTTAATTACTCCTGTAATTAAAAAAATCCTCAGAATTAAGTAACTTTAGAAATACAGCAGATTATAACCAAAATGGTTCCATTTAAACTTGAGTATGAAAATCACAGTGTACAGCCAACAAATTGTTTTGTCAGCCTCTAACACCTCAGCCAGTAGTGCTATGTTAATGTATTGTATATAAGCATGGATTAAAAACAAACCAGCATTCAGTATCAGTTTCTGGAAGAAAGTCAGACTCCTATTAGTCAGTGCTTGTTTTTAAAGCTAGTATATATCTGAAAACCAAGGAAAGACGATAAGTCCCAATAGTTAACTGATTTGATTACTCTGATTTAGCTCAATAGTTTGGCCGATTCCCTACATCAAAACCCAATTTTATCACTCCTAACTGTATGAATTTACTGATTAACCTCTATGGTTTTGGTTTCCTTTCCATTACATGGGCATTAAGAACATGACCTACCTCGTAGGGTTGCTTTGAGTGTTAAATAAAACAATACTAGTGAAGTGTCTGGTCTACAATCAGCAGTGCATAATATCTCAATGAAGGTACTGAGAAAAATCAATTGCTTACTTTCTTTTTAAACCAAACTAGTTATTATCTAAATTGACAAGGTTTTCTTTTCCTCACTACAAATGCTAAGGAGAAAAATCTATCTACATGGGATTATTTTAGAGCCACGGAAAAATGTGTGTGGAATCCATCAAGAAGAGAAGACCTGTAAGACTGAAAGCACATTCCTGATCAAAACTTGCGTAGATACTATCCGATCACAAAAAGTGTTACCGACACTCTATCTCCAGAAAGACATTTGTAAAAATACCTCAAGAGGACACTCTATAGATCTAATATTATTTTTCCGATCTAGATTATAAATTAGAATAGGAAGAGTCTGATGAGAAAGAGTGTTAGAAAAGGTCTGCTGGCAGGTGGGGCCAGAGTCTCAGGAATTTAGGGAGCAGACACAAGATAGATCAGGAGGTAGAGGAGAGGAGGGCAGAGAAGTGGGGACAGAAAGAGGAGGTGAGAAGTGGTAGCTTCTGTCTAGGAAGATGCAGAATATGAAAAGCCTGGCCCGAGTGAAAACATAGCTGCCCAAGGATGTGAAGCTGACCTGCGAATATTCCAAATCCCAGCGGACGGGCAGCCCTCGATCTAGGGGGTGTAATAGGATCTGTCTTTGTGAGGGAGAAGGGCACAAAGCCACTAACAGAGACTGCCCAGGCAGCCAACTCATTAAGAAAACATTTGTATCTCTAGACCTTCACAGAAAGAAATGGAAAAAGCTCCTAGGGGAGAAACACTCAAAGGCATTGCTATTTTGGCCTTCCCACGAGGGGAGCATAATGGGGATTTCCGAGGGAGGCAGCCAAAGGGAAAGGACAAAGAATGCATTTTTACTGTTCTCACTTGTGCAAGCACCTAAAAGAAAATTCCCATCTAGAAACATGTAAGGACCACAAAATTCTATTTAGAAAAATATAAGGATTTCATTTGGGGGAAAAGAAATAATATAATATTGAGAAAGAACGTGACTCTTCTTTTAAATAGAATGACCAATTACATGCATTTTTTAAAATATCATTTTGTGTACAACACAGTCCAAAAGCCCTGAGAAGTGAAGTCACAGATGGTCCCTATCCTCTGCGATAGCTAATATAAGTTAGAGAATTATGAGAGTGAATATTAATGACCAAAGGAAAACTAGCTGTTTAAGAAAGCACATATTAACATAAAAAGCCAAGGGTGCTGTGCAGGCAACACAGTGATTTATGTTTTTAAGATTAAAGAGAAAGGGATGTTATTCTGTTTTCTAATTAGTTCAAGAAGGCTTCCTAAAAACAATAGAACTTTTTGTATTTTTTCTCTTACTGTATTATTAATTTATTAAAACAAATGCTAGACCCATCAAACGGATTCCAGAACCAACTACCAAGTTGTAAATTCCAAAAGCAGATTGAGAAGTGATTATCATCTAGGACAGTGGTTCTCAACCTGTGGTCGCGACTCCCAGAAACTGTACGAATGGGTCATGGCATTAGGAAGGTTGAGAACTACTGATCTAAGATAAGGATGTTTCTCCCACAGTTCCCTGTCATCCCTTTCAGACACAATTTTAGAGTTCTCATGGAAAGATGAAACAGTGCAACAGAGAAGAGAAAGAAAAAGGAATAGAATCCTAACATCATCTCAAATATAAAGTCAAGAAAGACTAGACCTTAAATTTAGCCCTGGATTCAAAGTTGGGACACGTCAGGCAAATGCAGCTATTGGCTATAATTCCCTAGAATATTCTGCAAACATTCTAAGAGCAAGAAAACATGATTGAAGATCAAGTACTATTTTTATCTACACACTTCCCTAATCCACACATGCTTATATTTTAGAAAATCTTAGCAAAAGAGATGCAAATAAACAGGCAGTGTAGACTTCAACTGGGACAGAAACAATTATTTTTATATTTTGAAGATTCACAATATAAAAATGATTTGAAATAACAATTAAATGTTATTACTGATTCAAACCTTAATAGATATTTATATTTTTGACTATAGATGTTTCCTGAAATTCAAATAAGATTTGAATCCCAGATCTGCTTAATGATTTTCCTATGGATATGACTCAAAGGGCAGATTCACCCAGCAAAAGAGTCATCACAGAATCTGAATTAGTTTAAACCAATTTAACACATACATATGAGCATAGTGAAATTTAAATATCAAGGCTCCCAAGTATTCATTTTATTGAATTGAGTTATAAAGGCAGTGGTTACAGAGAGCACAGCAAATGAATACTGAAACCTGCTCACTGATAACTGAATACAATCGAGCAGTTGCTGTAGCTGCATAGATCAATAAAAAGAAAGTAAGAACTTTCCCAAAGCTTTGGCAAATAAATCTTATGAATAAAATTTTAAGAGAGGGGCGGTGCCTGTGGCTCAAAGGAGTAGGGCTCCGGCCCCATATACCAGAGGTGGTGGGTTCAAACTCAGCCCTGGCCAAAAACTGCAAGAAAAAAAAAAAGAAAGAAAAAGAAAAAAGAATTTTAAGAGAAAGAAAAAATCTGGGTATATTAATGGGTGATCGTTTTATCTTTCTCCAGGAACTATAAAAACTGACATAGATAGTGAAATAAGTTGTTTCTTCCATGCATTTTACTCCATCTGCTATGATTACAGTTGGAAGTTTCTGGTAAATTAAATAACTATTTGACGCAGACATTGTTATTTTTGAGCTGTTTTAATCTGTGGACAGTTGTCATGTTTGTGGACTTTTTTAAATCAGTGCTTTATACTTCACGACTTAAGAATCCCAGATACTTTCCTAGGGTATTTTACTTTTTTATTTGGTCAGGGCTGCGTTTGAACCTGCCTCTGGTATATGGGGCCGGCACCCTACTCCTTGAGCCACAAAAAAAAAAAAAAAAAGTCTTTGTGTACATAAGACTTTTATAATTTTTATATAGAAATGACATTAAATTATATTTACATGTAAAGCTGGATTTCTTTAGGGCATGTGCAAAAGGTACAACAAAGGTGATAAACGGACAAGGTAATATTTATTTAACAATATTACAAGTATGAATAATAAATTTACCTGTCATGTAAAATTGTATATAAAGGCCAAAATAAACTGTTGAAAATCGTTCTTAGTTAGGAAAGTGGAAATCAATTTTATAATTTGGTGTGTTCTTCATAACCTGTTAATTTCCATTCTTTTCTTCATCTATTTTTTTAAACTATTCTACTTCGTTCAGATTAGCTTGTAGAGTGGGCAGAAAGGTAAAGCACAGGTGAAATTTAAAATAAGTTCATTTGATTTCAAATATTAAATAACTTCAAAAGTTCAAATTATTAGGAAACGAGGGGGAAGGAGCTAGGACGCTGTGATAGGCAATGCTTTTGCCTGGTGAGGGCAAACTGACTTTCTAGCTCTCCAACTAACTAGCTGACGTGCTTAGACAAATTAGAGATTCAGTAGACTTCACAGCGGTCCTTATGCAAAATAAGAAAATTGACTGTGTAATTTCTGAAGTTCCTTTTTGAATAAACTATTTTGAAATTACTGCATAAAATAATTTTTAAATTCAATGTCAATTTAATCTACCCAAAGTTTTGTTCCATCTCTCATCACACAGAAGAATCAGATTCTACATATGACAAATTTACTTATTAACAAATTGTCTAGGTACAGTGGCTCATGCCTGTAACACTAGCACCCTGAGGGGCTGAGAAAATTTCAGACTAGCCTGTGAACAGAGTAAAACCCCATCTCTACTAAAAATAGAAAAATTAGCCAGGTGTTGTATTGGGAGCCTGTAGCCCCTGCTACTCAGGAGGCTGAGGCAGGAGGATGGCTTGAGCCCAAAAGTTTCAGGTTGCTGCGAGCTAAGCTGACACCATGGCACTCTAGCCTGGGCAACAGAGTAAGACTGTCTCGAAACAAAATAGAACAAAACAAAACAAAAATTTCAAACTCAGTAAAAAATAAAAAAGGCACAATATAAACAATAAAAACAAACTACAACATTGAAATATGGTAGAATGCAAAATGTAAAACATATAATCTTCATAAAACAGCAAAAGAACCAAAATATGAACAACAGGGATTTGGGGCTATTACGATTATGAATGTTTTTGTGAAGATTTTCTGTGTCTTAAAAAAAAAAAAGATGCCATGTATTAGGTTTATGAAGAACTGAAATAAACTTTATTTGAAAACAAAACAGAAATACCATCTCAATGTTCAGTTTTCTGCTCATTACTCCCTGTTTTTTACTAATTTGAATTCATCTGTAGCTGGGAACTTCAGGAGTGGACCAGTATATGAAAAAAATAAATCTTA